CTGGCACTAAACAACAGGATCATTCTTATCTACACAGTTGAATTTATACTTTCTTTAAGCAAAAGGAAATATAAGGAAGCACTATAAAATCAGCAAACACTGAAACTTAGGCTTTCTCTCGATTAGAAAAGAGTTTGTTATTATTATGCCTCCTGAGCTTAGGAATGCAGCACTACAGGTTTAAAGAACAGGAAAAGATCATTACTAAATACAAATCTAACTCTTAAAAGTTTAAGATTCTTCCCTGATGAAACTGTTTAGACTAATGAAGCTGTCGCAAATGAACTCAGCATTCGGCACAAAGGAGGTACTAAGACTGTACTAATAGCACTTTAGTAATATGTAAAATTTATTTTAAAGCTTCACATTGTTATTCCTCTCCTGCTATCCTTTCTGCTTTAATGTGAAACTGCCATCAGTTATAATGGTAAGTTCAGTATCCCTACCCATTCACCTCACTTGCCTCTGTCTCTAAGTGTGCCAAAGGACACAAAAGGCCAACATTTCCTTTTCTTAGTATTCAAAGTCTTCTAAAACTCAAAGGAAACAAACAGAATAGAGAAACCTCGTAATATCAATATATACTTCCATATTCCTTATTTCCATTCAGGGAAATGGAATGCTTATAATAACAGTAGCTCTTAGCATAACACAGCAAAAGAAAATGATTTTTGGAAAAAAATTTAAAAAGAATAAGGTCAGTATCACTAATTGGTAGAAGTAAAGGCAAGGTAGAAAAAATGTCATCAGCATATTTTAATCTGCTCCTAACACTAATAACTGATCACACATCCTCTTCTGCTTTGGCTGCTGGAAAGTCTGAGAGCCAGACCTATTCTCGAGGCTTATTCTTTCCCTGTTTCATGGTATACATGCAAGCTGACTTACGCCTGGCTCTGGCTTACTGTCCTATTCCTAGATTTTTCTCAGTGTAGTTTTTCTTAATCATTGATGAATAACTTTCTTTGACATGACAAAATACATGTATGTATATATATTTGCATGTAAAACTGATTTGCATAACTGAAAGTGTATTTTTTCTTAAACTTTATTTTAAAAATCCATTATCTATGATGACATACATACAAACATGCAAACACACATGAAAATTACTGAATTAGTCTGGTTTTCGTCACAATAAATATGGAACTTTTCCCTTGTCCTCTATAACAGAGGAAACTTTGAAGAAAAAATGGCAATATCTCTATGAATTTGTTGTGTTTCACGTATGGATTTGTAATCACCATCTATTCAGGTGTGTTAAGAAATATTGTTTACTTTCACTTAAAGCAGAATCTGAGATTCCAGGAAACTTAAGCTTTGTTGTTTTGGGTAATTGCCTCTTCCTTCCTAGGATTCTACATCCCAGGGTTCTTACTCCTGTTCCATTTAAAATAAATTTCTGTATATACTCACAGTATGTTCTCTATACCTTAAAAAAAAGGAACTATTAATTGTGAGCTTAAATTTATTAACATTCACAGCTATTCTTATCTCCTTCGCTCCTGTCTATAAGCACAAGGTGACCATCTTCCTGTTCAAGGCAAACCCTTTTGCAGATTCTCAATTCCATCTCTTTCTAAATTTGGGGGAATTCTGTTCTCTCTGTTGGCTCCTTCCTATGTGCCATGAACATGCTCAAGTGTCTGCCATTTTTCAAAATCAAAAATCAAAATCCTTAACCCACATTCCTTTCTTCTCAACTATCATTAACATCTTTCTTATTCAAGTTTATTCAAGGATCACTTTATAGTCCAAATTTCTATGCTTCTTTCCCTCAAATCACTCTTGAACTTACAAAAAACTGGCTTCTATACTTAATACTCTATTAAAAACTACTCTTGTAGAGGTCACTAATGACCACCTAATTTCAAACAAAATGGATACTTTTTGCCCTCATCTTACTTAACCATTCAGAAACATCTGACTTTTTAAAAAAAAACCTCCATTCTTGGCTTCAGTGATATCAGTTTTTGGTTCTACTCTTACGTCACTGACTTCTTGTTGTAAAAATAAGTTTCTCTTAACATTAGTTGAGCACTAACAACAAGCCAAATACTGTGTTAAGAGCTGTACATACTTAAAATAACTCTGTAAGATACGTACTATAATTCTCATTTTACAAAAAAAAAATGGTCTTGGAGAGGTTCATTTATATAAGGTCACGCAAGGGAGGGCTGTCAACTGCAAATCCCTGTAGCTTAACGACATCATTAGCAGATTTTTTTAAAAAAAAGTAGCAGTGAGAGGGGTCCTTGTGAAGCTTATCTTTGAGCCAATAATTGTTAACTCTTTATTTAGAAGCGGTTATTTAGCTCTGTTAGATTCATGTAGATTAAAAAAAGTCTTTGAAAGATAACTGTTTAAGCTTCATAATTTTCAAAAATCTTTCAATAATCTCCTGCAATTCAGCAAAGAGAAGGAGTATCAAGAACCGGTATCAAGGTTTGTTTTTCAGTAAGTAATGTCAATTTTTGCAAGGTTATCACATTGCTCTCAGCATTCTCAGACGCTGTCACTTTAACAACAGAGCACCTGCTGTCCTATCTCACAAGGATGGCAGGAGAGTTTTCCATAAAAACTCTCCCTATCAATGGGGTGAAACTACTACAAACCATACTGCAATATCCAAGGTCTGGGCACAAATCACACATTATTCATAAGTCTTAATAAAGGGTTTAATAAATGCTTCTATTATTCTACCAAGAAGCAACCCTAATTTAATGCAGCTAACTGAAGTGTGAGTGTAAAATGGCAGCCTTCAAACTTGGCTGCACATGGGAATTTCTAAGGAGCTTGAAACACACTGATAGCTGTCTTATCCCAAGAGATTCTGAAGTAATTGGCCTGGGATGGGATGGGGATCAGGATTTTTAGAGGCTCCTCAAGTGATTCTAATGCAGTTACAGTTGAGAATTCACTGGTGTAAAATACAGATGAAAGACTGCTACATTTACCCTCTTAAAAAAAAAAAAAAAAAGGATGGGACGTCTTCAACTGCTATCAGGGTTCTGCTTGCCTACGTGCCTACTGATTCTAACTGCAAGCAAATGATTCCCCACAGGCAGTCATCCAACAAACATCCTTGGTATTTGATAACCGTATTAGTTTCCTAGGGCTGCTGTGACAAAGTACCCAAACTAGGGGGCTTAAAACAACAGAAATTGGGCTTCCCTGGTGGCGCAGTGGTTGAGAGTCCACCTGCGGATGCAGGGGACACGGGTTCGTGCCCCGGTCCGCGAAGATTCCACATGCCGCAGAGCGGCTGGGCCCGTGAGCCATGGCTGCTGAGCCTGTGCGTCTGGAGCCTGTGGTCCACAACGGGAGAGGCCACAACAGTGAGAGGCCCGCGTACCGCAAAAAAAAAAAAAAAAAAAAAAAGAAAACAAAAACAACAGAAATTTATTGTCTCACAGTTCTGGAGGCTACAAGTCCAAAATAAAGGTTTCTGCTGGGTTGTGTCCTCTTTGACAGCTGTAAGGGAGAATCCTTCCATGCCTCTTCTAGCTTTTGGTGTTTGCTGACAATCCTTGGTATTCATGTGCTTGTAGATGCATCACTCCAGCCACAAGGCTGTCTTTGCCCTGGGTGTTCATATAGTCTTCCCTCTATGCTTGTGGCTCTGTGTCCAAATATCTACTTTCTATAAAAACTTCAGTCATGCTGGGTTAAAGCCCATGCTAATGACCTCATTTTAACTTGATTACCTCTGTAAAGGCCCTATTTCCAAATAAGATCACATTCTGAGGTACTAGGGGTTAAGACTTAAATATATTTTTTTGAAGGACACAATTCAACCCATAACAATAACCAATTACTGTATATGTCAATAACATTGCTCCAAAACATGGGTTCTTCACATGAGGGTGGGAAAAAATTTTCATCTTTATTTTTCACTCTCATGTAAATACAGTATTTCCTACAATGATGAACACAGGCAACAAACTATACTAGTATTATTAGTGGCTCTTGAGAGTTTACGCCATAGAAACCACTGGTATTTTCATGTCACATTTCAGTGTTTGCAGTTATCCTCAAAATACCATTTACAGTCATTACTACTTTGAAATTACAGTTTTTTAATAGACTTGCTGTTAGATCTAGTTATTTAATTACTAATATATTAATAATGTATTAATAATGGCACATGTATTTTATTTCAGTAAAACTGATTTTGATTTAATTACATTTTATGCACTTATATTTTAAGATGGGGACTAAATTTTAAAAAAATCTTTCAATAACCTACAGCCCCAGTTAGTGAATTCTTACGTTTCAGATGAGGTTTTAAAAATCTTTGTGAGTATTAAAAAATATGCAGGGCATTGTACATCACTTTTCAAACCTTTTTTTTTTTAAACTATGATCCACTGTGAGAATATATATTTTAAATATAGCCGAAGACACAATCTTATTTCTCTCTCACACAACACAAAACTGAAACAAAAATATCACAAAACAATATTTACCCTTTCTGCACTCTGACATTTTCTATTCTATTTCTTTTCATTAAAAAATGCCAGTGTGACCTACTGAATTAATTTCACAACTATTCTTGGAGCATAAATTAAATAAGTCTTAAAAATCCTTTAGTGGCCTTCCTTTAGAAACTTCTCATACTATGACAGGTGAAAGGCTATTATTAACTGCTTTTCATGTACTATTTAAAAAATGTATGCCATCACTTTAGAGGTGCCATTTAGATGAGCAAATTGCTCAAGAGCTAAGCAGCTTCCATTTAGACAACTAGCTAAGAGTTATGTAAATTTTATAATTCCCATTTTATAATGGGAGTCTAAACTTATACTTTACCAAATACAGGAAGGAAAAAAGGTACAATAATTAATATTTTAGGCCTGAATCATTCTGAAACTACAAAAATGTCTTAAGTGAATAATGTTTAATTTCATTGAGGTATTTCCTCATTCACCACTATAAAATTAGGTAGAAACATTTCCCAAACTAACATTTACTTATGCCTAGGATAAAAAGAATTTTACCTGTAGTAAACTCGAAGTGTCTGGATTTCTTCTTCCAGTTTTTTGTATTGTTGAACTGCAGTTTCTCTGGCTTGTTGCATAGCTAACAACTTTGCCTGCAATTAATATTTTAAGAAACTTAATATTAGTTTGGTACATTGAAATACAGTGCTATAGTATGAATAGAAGTCTTTAATTTCTGGGAGTTTAAAACCTATCATATTTTTAGTAGTGGTTCATAATTTCCCACAAAATAATCCAATTATATTAATAACAGAAATACTAAAGACATGAACATATTAAATTTACCAACTTTGCTCATTACTAAACTTCAACCTTATTCATCTGTATCATCAGATATATGCCTTTCTGCAATGTTTAACTTTATACACGGAATTCAGAAAGTGGAACGTGGGTTCAGAGCATTATCTAGAGATAAGCGCAGTGGGTGTTTCACATATAAATTTTATGTGGCTCCACTGCCTGATTGCTAGATTTTCTTTTAACTTTATTAATAGAAACTCAGAAAATTCTAAATATGTTAAGCTATCTTTGATATTTAACATGAAAAAAAATACACAAGACTACAACCTGATTCTTACAGATATGATTTAACCTCTTCAATTCCTTTTCTGCAGAAAAAAAAAAATCTCTAAAGGGAGAATGGCAGCAATCTTGAATGTTAGAAATATTTTATTCAAGGGATGTTATTGTTCATCTCTGCCTATAATACTCCAATTTTAAAGAGTCTTAATCAGTTTTTCAATAGGGTTCAAACTAGTAATTTTAAAAGAATTGCTACCTTCCAACCATCATTCCCACTGAATTTCAGGCATAGTCAAAAAGAGTTATCAACCCAACTTTTAAAATATGGTACTGGTAAGTCAGATTTCAGTTTTGTTTATTCAAAGTTTAATTTCCATGAAAAGGCTATCTTTCACTTTAAATGGTGTTTGATAGATAACACAAAGCAAACTGGTATCGCATACCTCACAAACTACACTAATTGTCATAATTAAAAAGTAATCAAAAGTTGGGGGCAGAAATTCACTAATTTTGCTGAAATCATATGACTTCACTGAAATTATTTTCTTGCATAAGAACGAAGTCACAAGACAAATTGTGAAATTTGATCATAGGAAAATTAATGAGTGTAATATAAATGAACATTAGACAATGCCACTTTTCTATTTTAATAATGCAGAATTATAAAAGCATGCAGCAGTTTAGATCTTTGTATATAAAATTAGGCACTAAATTAATTAATTAGTTCTCTATCTGGGCTAGCAAATTCTAACAAAGGGTTACTTTTTAATTAAATTTAAGATGTTTGTATGCTTGCTTCAACATGTCACACTCCAGAATTATAGATGAAACATTCTCAAAAATTATTAAAAAAGCATGCAAAGCTGGTTCTTGATGCCAATAATTAACAGCTTTGCCAGTTTTCAGTATACTATAATATGTGATTGAAATGGTAACTTGGAAGACCGGATACCCAATGTGACTAATAACAAATCAAAAAGAACTGCCCAAAAAAGGATATATCACATTCAACTTACAAAACATCAGACATCCTGTTGCATGTAATTTAAGAAATATCAAATATTTGACAGGTAATTGAGAATTTGCTAAATAAATATGTGACAATGTTAAATACCTTAGATGATTATTTTGAAGATTTTGTACCTGGTACTTCTGCAAAAGGCAAACCTAAAATCCCCCAAAAACCCAAACCAAGAAACAAAACCAACACTGTTCTAGCAGGAAAAAGTCATAACGAAGATTCTGCCTAAGAAATTTCTGCAATGAAAATGAGATCATGAGAACTGTAAATTCCCGTGCTTTGGTAATAATGAATATTTCACTTCTCTTCCTGTATTTAGTTGGCTACGAAGATTTGGTGTTGCTTCATAGCAATCCACTTAATTTATTAATTCCAAATGCCTAATCTTATATCTAGGCCCTGGTGACTATGTTCAAAGTTATTATAAACTTTCTGGCATTACAAGCTCCTTCCGCTACTTTATCAGATATACGCTTACCTGGTCAACTTTGCCACAGTGATCCTGCTCAGTCTTGGTGGCTAGGATGAACTTCCTTCCCCACTACCTCAGGTATATCTGATCTAGATCGTTCAAACAGAGTAGTACATCCTGCTAGGCCCAGAAGAAAACTGAATCTTGAGGTCAGTTGTATCCTGGATCCTGGTATACCAGACAGATCTAGATCCATTTCTTGGACTTCCTGGGTACATAAATCTTTTTTTTTTTTTTTTTGGCCTAGGCTAGTTTGAGTTGGATTTATGGTATATGCAATGTAAGAAAATTTAACTAACTTAAATGTGCTACTTACGTCTACTGCATTTCCTACTTCCATTATTAATATCATATAATTCTATCACATTACAGGTCAAAAATATATTTCATCTCAAAAACAAAAAATTAGCAAACAACATACTTTTCCTGTTTCTCTGTCATCATATTTCCCATATTTCTGGTAATTACTTGTAAATCTCCCACCCCCAATCTTCAGTACTACAAATCTCCTTCTGAAATTTCCAGTTACCTGTTTGTTGTATATCCTTCCAGAAACAGCCTATACACATACAAGCATATATGTATATTTGCAACTAAATACATCTACTTACAATATTGATGGTACTCTTTACACACTGTTAAAAACTTTGTTTTAAATTTAAAAGAATTTTTGTTATTTTGCTTCCTATTAAAAAAGAAATCCTCCACCCCAACCCATGTGTTGCACTCACTAGCTACATTCCCTTCCTTCCCTCCAACCCCCAAAGTGAAACACTTCCATGATTTTGGGTTCATCATTTTCAAGAATATTTTATACGTTTACTATGTAATTATGTACTTACAGATAATATATCTGATTGTTTACACATTTCTAAACTTTATATAAATGATACTGTACACATTTGCAGACAATTGCTTTTTTGGACAGTATTATGCTTTTGACTCTTATTTGTATTAATACGTGTATCTGTTCTGATTATAGTTACCTTCACACGTTGTGAACATGTGCAGTACATTGGGATTACAGATATATTTGGACTTATTTTTACATGTTTTTCATATTTGGCATCCTATTCCTTTGTTCCTTTTTCCCTCTACTTATACTGGATTAAAATATCTATATTCCCCTTTTGATTTACTATTTGGAATCTTTATATTTATATTCTACCTTGAAATTTTGGATAAACATACTTAAAAACATATTTTTGAGCAAAGCCTACAGTGAGTCAGAATTTCTATATACCATTAGCCCTCTGTATCTGTGGGTTCCACATCCACCGTTACTTGATGGCTGACTAAGGGACCTAAACATCTGCAGATTTTGGTATCTGTGGGGTCCTAGAACCAATGCCCTCCGGATAACGAGGGACGACTGCATGGACAACCGTACGATAAACATTTTACAGAAGTACAGCACTTTTTAAACTTGAATTTTTAGGCAAAAATTTTATTGAAGCAAAACATGCATCACATATGTAAGTATACACATGGATGAATTTTTTTAGGCAGGCTTATTGAGTTATAATTTAGACAAAGTAAAAATTCACCCATTTTTGATGTACAGTTGTGTAAATTTTGAAAAATGTATAGAGTCATATAATAACAATCACAGTCAAGATACAGAATATTTTCACTACCCCAAAGTGTTCCTTCATGCAACACTGCAGTCAATGTCCTTCCTTTACATGCAGCCCCTGGCAACCACTGATGTGATTTTCACCCCTATAGGTTTCTGTTTTCTAGAACGCCATATAAATATCATATAGTAGGCAGCCTTTTGAATTTGGCTTCTTTTACTTAATGCTTTTAACATTCATTCATATTATTACATGTATCCGTAGTTCATTCCTTTATATCACTGAGCAATATTCCATTGCATGGATATACAACAATGTGTATATTCATTCACCAGTTGATGAATATTTGGATTGTTTCCACCTTTTGGCAGTTTTAATAAAGCTGCTATAAACATCTGCATATTGATCATTTTGTGGAAATATGCTTTCACTTCTCTTACTTACATAAACACCAAGGACTGGAATTGCTGGGTCCCATGATAAGTGTGTGTGTTTATATACTTTAAAAGTTATATACTCTATTAAGTTATATACATTATAAAGAAACTGCCAAATGTGCTGCCTAAATTGATAAAACTTAAAAACATCTGTGCTTCAGCAAGGGGAACCATAAACAAAATGAAAAGACAACCTACGGAATGGGAGAAAATATTTGCAAATGATGCAACCGACAAGGGATTAATTTCCAAAATATACAAACAGTTCATACAACTCAGGAACAAAAAAGAACAAACAATCCAGTCGAAAAATGGGCAGAAAAACTAAATATGCATTTCTCCAAAGAAGACATACAGATGGCCAACAGGCACATGAAAAGATGCTCAACATCGCTAATTATTAGAGAAATGCAAATCAAAACTACAATGAGATACCACCTCACAACAGTCAGAATGGCCATCATTAAAAAGTCTACAAATAACAAATGCTGGAGAGGGTGTGGAAAAAAGGGAATCCTCCTAGACTGTTGGTGGGAATGTACGTTGGTACAGCCACGATGGACAACAATACGAAGTTCCTCTAAAAACTAAAAATAGAGTTGCCATATGATCCAGTAATTACACTCCTGGGCATATACCCAGACAAAACTATAATTCAAAAAGATACATGCACTCCTATGTTCATAGTAGCACTATTCACAATAGCCAAGACATGGAAACAACCTAAATGTCCACTGACAGATGAATGGGTAAAGAAGATACATATATACAAGGGAATACTACTTAGTCATAAAAAAGAATGAAATAATGCCATTTTAGCATCATGGATGGAACTAGAGCTTATCATACTAAGTGAAGTAACTCAGGAAGGAAGAGAAAGACAAATACCATATGATATCATTTACATGTGGGATCTAAAATATGACACAAATGAACTTATCTGTGAAACAGAAACAGACTCACAGACATAAGAGAACAGACTTGTGGTTGCCAAGGGGGAGGTGGGTGGCGGAGGGATGGAGTGGGAGTTTGGGGTGAGCAGATGCAAACTATTATATATACA